CCCCATAAAATATAGTTATTAATATATATTCAATGAAAAAACTATAATTAGAATTTAATTTAGATAAAAAACCTTTACATATAAATTGAAAACTGTTTACATATTTTCAATTACAAGATTAATTTTTATTATACATAAATTATCTGATGAGATTTTCTTAGATGAAATTTTCTTAGCCAATATGAAAAACTTGATTATTAAAATGTGTAATAATTTATTATAGTCATTGTGTAACATTCCATAATATATTGGAATGCAATGTAATGCCATCTATTTAATTTAGCAATTACACATAACACTTAACATGATATAAACACCAAATATCATATTATAAATAAAAAAATTTCATTTAAAATAATGAAATAGGTTGAAAATAAAATATTTTAATCATAATAAACTGAAAACAGTATGGTAAAATTCATTCATACAAGAAAATGAAATATAATCTATCTTAAAGTGAATGTCAAATTATAAAAATAAAATATGTATGCATAAAATTACTCCTAAAAAATTAATGTGTTTATATATAGGTAGCCCTCGGTTTACGCCACAGTTCCATTCCTACAAAAGCCGGCACAAATCGAATCAACGTAAAATGTACCCATATTTGCAGTGAGGTATAGGGTTAGGTTCTACATAAGTGAAAAATAAGCAAATAATTTTGTTTATTAATACAATATAATACAAAATACATATAAATTTAATTTTTAAAATGTATTTTATCATAAAATAAAGTGAAATGTTTTTATTAAAAACTTTTAGTTTTGGATCTCTTACATTTCTCGGAAAAAAGTATCCATCTTTAATTGTTTACATTTTTGTTTTCTTTCATTGAGAATTTCGGAATTTGGTTGAATGGATGCAATGATGCTCCTTTTTACATTAGCACTTTGCTCCCAATTATTGTCTAACTCACAAAGTTCATCTGTCAAACTTTCCATAGTTGAAAGGATACGCTTTAGATCGGCCATTTTCATAATTCTTGGAGTTTCTTCTTTGTCATTCTTCTGTAGTTCTATGTCTGGTGCGTAGCTCATTCAAATCTAATGGTTTGTGAAACGTTCTCTATTGGTCTAGATCTGACCAATTACGAGCCACAATTCTGCCATGACACGTGGTGTCATAGTGGACTCCTGTCTCACTAGGATTGGTCAAATCTGGACATAATCTAGTCAAATCTAGCATAGGAAAAATTGGGGAATTACACAGTAAAACGACAAATTGCACAGCATCATTATTGTGAATCGGCGTAAACTGAGGGCTATCTGTATTTTGATTTGAATATTTGAATTCATATATTGTATTATTTTACATCTATTATGATCCATTCCATAACTGCACTATCAAAACAACAAACACTGAACCATAAATTATGTAATAAAATATTTACTAATCAAACATTTTTGGTTTTTTTCATTGACCTTCATCAGAAAATATATACATTATATAATTTAACAAGAAAGAACAAAGCCACCCATATTCTAAAAACAGTTTTACAACATTCCATTTTTGGAACAAGACAAATTTTAAAAAAATGCATGTGCCATTTTTTTACATATAGCATGGAATATCATATGATGCATTACAAAAAAAAAACAACATATATAAAATCTATTTTATACATAGTAAAATAAACCATGAATAAAAACACTAAATTATTCTGTGAGATCCCAGGCTATAGTTTTTATAAAAATAATAATAATCTTATAATTTATTAAAATAATTGTTAGCAAAAAAGAAAATTTTAGAAAAAATGATGAGGAAATAACAAGATGTTGTTAAAGATAACACTTCCTTTCCAATGACACCTCTTCCTCAGATAGTTACTCAACCTGGGAAGCAAGAGAAGAAAAATTCCAATTAGTTATTAACAAAGTCTTCATCTAACAGAGTTAGAACATTACCATTTTTGGAAATGGACCAAAAGATATAAAGGGTTCACTCAAAGATCATAGATATCATCTATTTCTTGTTGACTGCCTGGTCAAGTTGTCCAGTTTCTCTGAGTCACCCAGTTCAGTCATCATCCTATCCAGTCCCTGATTAATTGATGTTCTCATCATTCTCAACTGGTCAAGTTTCTTGTTGTTCCTCTTGCCATCAGAACTGCAACCATTTTCCTGTTTAATACTATAAGGACTGTCAGAAGATTCCTTTTGTCAACAAGGTAAATACCTACTCATGGTCCATTAAACTCTCTCTCTCTCAGTGATAGGATAGTTATAAGATAGATAAGGATGCTTACTTAACGGTGCATCTATGTTCTTATTGTCTCTCTAACATCTAGATAGAGATGATTTTCTTTGAGTTTAATTTTCCTTTTTGCGTATAGTTGTAATCAATATATATTATATACTATATTAGTTAAATAAATATAGTTTTGTTTTAGAATAAAATTAGTCACAGAGTGAGTTATTGCTGGGGTTCCTTGTATCTCTTACTTCCCTCATCCATCTGCCAACATTCATTCCCATACATGACTGCTTGCACATGTTTTACAATGTACGAAATTAGAAAAAAAAATTTCCTGTATCTCCCCATAAAATATAGATGTTGTTAGAAGTTAATATACTTCAGCTTCGACAATCTCACAATACTTTCCATATTTTTACTCCCATGTTATATTATATACTGTATTTTTACTGAATAATTTATGGTTCCATGTTTGTTATGTAATTATGGTATATATTATTACAAAATAGTAATAAAAGTATTTCTTTTCTGCATAAAAAGAATTACTATACATATATAAAGTATAGCAATGAATTTTTTAATTCATTACTTTTATTATAAATTTGTTAATAATGGTCAGACAAAATAGTCTTTAAAGAATATATTTTATTTTGGTAAATATAAAAGGAGTTATTCCAAAACATTACACAACTCAATTTATTAAAATCATTATAGAAAAAAATATTCTTTTCCAACTTAATTTTATTTTAGATTTAAGTACTCATTCATAAATATTGAAAAGAACAGACATCATAAAATATATAAAAAGCTAACATTAAAAGTATTTAAAGATTATATTAAGAAAAAATAAATTTTAATTTTAAAGTGTATGTACTCTACACACACAAACTGAATAGTATAGACTTTAATTATGTTAATTATTACCTTTGTGTTAGGTGCTTGAGAAGAATCATTAAGAAAACGTGTAATTACTGCAAATTGTTCTTCACATGGAAAGGAATCTCTATAAATAATGTTTTATTTTGAGTTTAAATTTTTGTAAAAATATTAAAAAATAATTAAAATTAAATCATCAAAATCAACATTAAACTTGTTTTTATAAGAAAAAATCTCATAAATAAATAGAGATTAAGAATTTTTGTTGCCATAATTTCAATGTTTACATTTCCACTGAATATGTCTGAAACATGATTAATTGCAAACTCCCTCCTCACACCACACCAACATCTACCAAGAATGATCACTAAGCCTGAACAGTATGGTATGAGATATCAGAAACAGCCATCTTGGATTTCTCCCATTCGATGCCTCTCTGCATACAAGTTATTACTGCCCACCCAAGATGGGAACACTCATTGCTGAATACTTTTCTCTCCCTCTGTATTTAAAACTTTTTATTTCTGATCATTTATATCTTGAATCATGTAAAATCTATCATTTAAATTTCATTTTGTAACACACTATCTTTCTTGGTGTTGTAATTTTTATAAACAGCAGTCTACTGATATTTGCATGGTATCATTTATACTATATTTGCTTACAAATAGTGTCATATAATATAAAGTTGTTTTCACAGGAACTTTTCATAAAAGATTATGAGATATATTCTGCCACTGTAGTTTAGTTTATTTGAAATAAGTTTTCAATATATAAAGAAAATAATCAAAAAATGTAAGATAGTAATAATAATAATAATAATAATAATAAAGTGTACTCACCTTATCAAATCTAAATTTTTGTAAATTTTGGTTTGAACTGATGAAAGCAATTCTGATCCTGATTTCAAAATAAGACGAGTAAACAATACATACAGCCATCCTATTAGGTCTACTTTATAAATAAGAATTAATTCCGACAGTAAATCCAGGAAAAGTGAAAAAACCTGAAAGAAAAATTATCATTCATTTTATAAAATTAATGTTTAAAATATTATGTGTAATATATTTACTCAAAGACTTAAAAAATTAATTATGAATAATTGCAGATTTGGAATCTTGAATTATTATAATAAAAAGATAAATAAATAAATTGATATTTTTTCTTTGGAATAAAAACAAGTATGTTTAAGATTTAGAATATATATATATTTATTTATTTTGTGTATAAAAAAATATTTTAAGTTGAATAAATTTTATAATTTAATAAAAATTGAAGACAAAAACTGCCCAAAAAGGGATCACCATTTATTCTTTGTGTTCCAAGACTATACACTTTTTTTGGCAACTGACCTTTCTTTGTAGGCTGCTTGTCGCCAGAAAATTACAAAGAGTCCTTTTAAAAACACAAAACATATCCAATTAAAATTATAAAAATTTCTGAAAAAGTAACTGGTGACATACAGTTGTCCTGCTTAGATCCATCTAGACCTTCTTTGGAGGTTTTGGACTGCTTTTTATCTACTTTTAACTTCTGCATATATTTAAAAAGTGTATTTTTATTAAAACAATATCAATCACCAATTAAATGAAGAATATAACTTTAATTCAATATTTCTTGTATACTTTCATTACTATGCATTTAGCATAATGAAAGATGTGCTAAACTGTTAACTCAAACTATTACAGTCATTCTTCAGTTTATTTATATAGCTATTTTTGAAAAAATAGCATAAAGGCTATTTTTGGAAATATTTATATTAGAAGCATTAATTTTGGGATAATGAAAAAAATTTTTTTTAAAGTTATTCTGTATAAATGTGCACAAATGTCAAAATTTTCCATATATCACAATCAATAATTTGTTGAATTTCTATATTTTTAGTATTAATAATTGTAAATTATTATTTTTTAATTTCTGTAAAAACAGCTTAAAAATTTGATAGAAAATGACATATTAACTGATAATCAATCTTTAAATTTGATCGCATGCTCATGGAAAATAATATTTGCAAATTAACTTCTATTTTCAGATAAAGTGTTGTTTAAAAATGGTAAAAATATCCTTAAACTTTTAGGATATATATGCAGTTTTTTTTGATTTTGATGGAGTTATTTGTGACAAGACAAATTATAATGTCCAGTAAATATAACATGGCAGGGTATCCTGGAAAATATTTATTATTTCTTGTGTTACTGATCAAATCCTTTACTAAAACATAAGAGAGACATAAATTTTATATTAAAAATCAAATTATTATGTATTACTTTGTTATTATTTAGTTGTCTAGAATTCTTTGCAAATACTGTCAAGACAAGATTTTATTTTGCAACAGGTATGCAGAATAGGCTTCATCACTATAAATCTTTTTTATTAGACCTACAGTAACAGAATCAATGTTATCAAGTGTAAACAATTCTTGCTAATTTATAGTGCAATAATGTAATCTACAAAATAATTCTTTAATAAAATGACAAGGATGATGATAATACATAAATAGATTCAATAAAATAGAATGAACAATGAATGTCTTCCTAATAAATCCTTTTTACATACCATAGGAACAATATTTCTACGGTGGAGTTGATCTTTTATTGGAGGCTACTTCTCTGCCTCAATATGCAAAACCAGTAAAAAATTTGAAAGTGATGGCATAATTATACAAAATATATTAAATAAAATAGAACAAACAATAAATGTCATGTGTTTTTTATACAACAACTAGCAGACCCTGCCACGCGTTGTTGTGGCTCAAAATGTATATATTATAAATTTATAACACTTCTCCTGTGGGGAAGGGAAAAATTTTTCGAAAAATTTCTTCTTAGTGTACATTCTGTTGACGTACCCTATTAAAACGCAATCAAAAATGCAAAAACCTGCATCTAAAATAGTATCATAGAAGCCAAGTTCTTCACGGTAAGCCTTAATCCTGTCTCTCTCCCCTGCAAGGGGAATATCGAAAAATTTCTTCTTAGTGTACATTCTGTTGACGTACCCTATTAAAACGCAAAAACCCGCATCTAAAATAGTATAAATAGAAGCAGAGTTCATCACCATAAGCCTTAATCCTAACCATCTCCCTTCAGTAGGGTTGAATTTCGACATGTATATTATATAAAAACACGTGTGTATTCGAATGCAGCGTTGTGTCAAAATTTCAAAGGAATCAGTAGGAACAAACGAACATTACATTTTTATTTATATAAATAGATAAAAGATGATCTGTTTTAGTTCATTTTCACAGAAAAGCAAACTTAGGGCGTCGTATTCGTAGCGCCATCTGTTGGACATAAAAGCCTTAACCTAGATTATATCTTTTAATTTATATGAATGTTTAATGAAATAATATACAGCCTATGTCCACCCTGAAGTTCCATTCTAAATATTGGTGAAAGAATTTTTGAAATCAGATGAGTAGTTTCGGAGATTACCTGCTGCATACAAACTTACTTACATACTTACAAACATTACCTCTTTATAATATTAGTATAGATAATTTCTACAGCAGAGTCAACTTTATATGCAGACAACTACTCCATCATTTTAATAATTAATACATTTTTTATAATTGAACCATCACCATGGAATTTTTTACTGATTTTGTATATTGAGGTGAAGAAGTAGCATCCAATAAAAGATCAACTCTGCTGTAGGAACTGTTGTTCTTGAAGTGTGTAAAAAGATCATATTAGGATGACATTTATTGTTTATTCTGTTTTATTGAATATATTTATGTAAAATAATTATTTTTTAAAAAGTTCAAAAGACTAAAAATGCATTAACAATAAAGTAGAGCGTCGATTATCCGAAAGTCAATTATATGAAAGAATTCCAGTCGGCAAATTTAAATTTTCGCCAGTGCTGTGGCACTGCAATCTTTGGCTATGTCTTGGGTTACTCAAATATTTTACATTTTTGATACTAAATTAATTTCTGAAGTATAATTTTTTATTGTTTTTATATTTTTCAATATATTTTGTATTATATTTTGTATTATATAAAAACAAAATATATTGTAATATATTTTGTTTTTATATTTTTCAATATATTTTGTACAAACAAAATAAATAATTTTTAACGATACAATAGTCACGATTATTATTTTAAAAAGTTTACGTTAGGCTTAACATCAACGAAAATTCAACGCAAAGTGACATGCAACAGAGAAAAATTTCAACATGGGATAGGTTAATATATTTTTTCGTACATAATCGGTTATCCAAAATATCGATTTTCCAAACAACCCCAGTCCCAATTGATTCGGATAATTGACGCTCTACTGTATAGTGATTTTGGATTAAGATTTTAAAGATGAAAAGAATTGCCAAAAGTAAGCCTGAAAAGAACTGAATTAATTTAAGGAGCTGTTGTATGATTTTAACAACATATTAATATAGTTATCCTAGTTATGAAAAAAATTCATATAAATAATATGACCTTATATTGTATTATATATAAAAACAATTTTTTAAAATATTTTATGAATTTTTTAATATACCTTTGTATGAGGATCCATAAATAATTTAGTTAAACTATCAGTAATTCTTTTCAACTCTGATTTAGTAAGAAGCCTGGAAGAATGGAAGAGAGCTTGTAGTGTTAGAAGTCCTTCCTTTCTATCAGACCAATGAATACTTGACAGGTTATGTACTATTTCGGCAACATCCTATAACAAGAAAAATACAATATTATATCACCACTAAAAATTATCTAACAATTATCCATATAAAATCCAGTAAATTTAACAATAATTTCAGACATCCTATTTCTGTTTTTATTGATCTGATTAGATATCAATTTTCTGTTTCTACATTGAAATTACTTTTAATGCATTCTAACTGAAGTAAAGTAAAATAAATATCAAAATGTGTATTAGTCATAAAAAACTTCCCGATTTTAATAAAATTACTCAAGACAAATCATTAAAAATATGAAAATAAGTAGTGCGATTGCAGCACTCATCCTTGAGTAATGGTGTTATAATTCCAACCACAAGGAGCACTGGATAAAGAACAAAATTCCTTTTCTGAATTACAATTTTGATAGTGAAATATTTTGTTTCACAAATATTTTATCAAAATGATTTATTATTATATTATGATTTATGTTTTATAAGTAAGAATTAGTAAAATACAATATTCTCTCTGTTATATCTTGTATGAGTATATATTATGTTATCCATTTTAATACATTTAAATGTTTGATATTAATTAATTAGTCATACAAAATTATAAAGAATTTTCTTTGCTTGTCCAGCTTTTCTGTGTTGTAGCAATATATTAAATTGATTTTTATTTAGTATATTACTTCATTTAATTGACAACTATTTTAAAATGTACTAAAACTCAGCAATTTGATTTTTTGTACATTGAAAATTATTATTATTTATACTTAAATATTGTATTATATATAAA